ATTTGGTTAGTTGTGTAATTTGGAGTGTTTTTGATTTAATGTAATTTTTTTTTGAATTTAGGTGGTCAGAGTATTGGTTGATGACAATTGTTGACGGTAGTCCATCTATACCTTAGGTAACCCACTGTGGATTGCTCACCCCATCCAAATCTGTTTGTCCACATAATACCCATCTTCCAATTTTATTTGTCCGTTGTGTTATTACTTCACCAACATCCATTTTTATTCCTGCTTCTTAGCACCAATATTATGTGGTTTAAAACTGGTGTTCATTTTCATATCCAATGATAATTGCTTATTCATTTTTTTGGCATGTTTAATACCTAGGTTAACATGCCTTTGTTTTCATTTGCGTCCGAGAAAGAAGCTGCGTTTAACATGCCTATGTCAATATTTATGTTCCTTTATCCTTTTGTTCAGTGGAGCCATACGAGTGGTTAAAGGTATTAGATGACACTAACTTGAATTGGAAAAACAAATGGTAAATTATTGAAGTTGTTGTTTGTGCAAAATGAATAAAGGGCCTTTGAGTTGAGTTAAATTGCATAATTTTGGTACTATTGAATTATTTATTAACGATTTATATTTTTTCTTTCTATACTTTTTATTACTGCATTGGTTTTGTGGAAAAAAAAATGGTTAAGAGCGGTACTTTTTTTATATCCTTCTATTATGTATACATATTATTTTTGGGTTAAGTAGTTTGTACAAGGGATAATACTTGAGTTGGGCAAGTGAATAAGTATTTCAAGACCTTCGTTCATTGTAGCATGTTGTGATTGAGATATATCGGTGAAAACTTAGTTGAATATGTTAAAATTCTTAGAACTTTTGAGTTTTCTCCAATTTTTGCAAATTTTTATTTGAATATTTAGTACTTATCAACTTTACATTGTTAATATTTTATTCCAATTCTATTGTTTGATACATGCTGGAAAATTATTTTACACGATTGATATTATAACATTCTTCTGCATATTGGTAAATAATTTTACTAAGACAAGATTGTGGGGTAATAGTTTCTATATTTTCAATTGCATGTTTAGTTATTTCTCTCTATTTCTTATATTTGTAGTCATCATAGTATACTAACCACCACTGCAAATTTTAGAATAACCCAAAATGTAATTCAATACCTCTTGGTTTTTGTTTATATTATTTTGTTGTGTGATTAAAGTTGTTTGTCTATCACTTTTACAAGTATTTGTATAGTTGTTCGAGTAAGAAAAATGATTTTCTATTGTTTTACATGCATATATTATTGTACAAACACGTACATTTCACTTGGTTCATTGTATAGACACCATACATTATTTTGTGAGTCTTCGTTTAAAATAGATAACACAATTTGATTAAATTGATGCAATATAAGTTGAGAATTACAATTGGTTTCACAGCTTGTTTGTTTTTTAGATGGTGGATTGAGTAATTAGTATTTTATTGATTGTCTATACATGTTGATATTCAATAGGAATCATATTTTTAGAGGAAATTATGTCCAAACATTTTTAAAATAATAAAATAAATATTTTTAAATGAAAATATTTTGACCCTTTTTATTTCACTAAAGTCATGACATTAAAAATGACCAATTGATTTTCAGCTTAATGCATATTTATATTCATTGTTTGATTATTTCGTACTTAAGAATTATGCACAGTGCCTTCAAACACGTGATATAAGACGAGTTTAGTCTTTTAGTTTAGTACGTGTTCGAGTTCAGTGCTTAATTATTTCGCATGCAAATTCAATGTTCAATTTTTTTTAGTTACACCATACCTTCAGACACGGGTTATCCCTAGTATAGGAATAAAACAAAAGAGAGGGCTACAAGGTTCAATTCCAATTCAACATAAAAATAAAACACGAGAGGATTACAAGCTTCAATATCAATTAAATATATAAAAAATAAATCATAAAAGAGGACTACAAGCCCTAATTTCAACATATAAAAATAGAGGACTACAAACCCCAATTTCAATTCAATACATTAAAACTTTTTAGTGGGCGCAAATGTCTAATAAATTCTAAATTTTTTAAAATTATACTTATACCCCACATTTTTTTAAAATTTTAGTGGGGGCAGCGAATCTGTCGTTATCTGAGGAGTTACGTCACTCGTTTTAATAAGGAGGCTCTCCAAATTGAAGATTTAGATGACAAAGTGACCATGACCGCCTTTATTGTCAGTTTGCAAGTCACCAACAAGCATGTCCGAACTGTTATTTAGGGCACAAAAGTATATGAATGTCAAAGATGTCACCAAGGCCAAGCGAGGTGAGTCCTCCCACGAGAGCGAGAAAAGAAATGACACCCGCGAGGATAGAAGAGAAGCAGAAAGTAAGAAAAAAAGGACAGAAAGAGTGTCCGTCAAGGACCGCCTTGGTCCCGCACCCTTCAGAGAGCGACAAACCTTTATGTCGCTCAATGCATCGGTTGTGCATATTCTGCTTCAAATCCAGGATGATCCTACGACACATTGGCGGGGAAAAATGAAGTTCACCCCAAATTGTAGAAACCCAAGCAAGTACTACCATTTTCACTACGACCACGGTTACGACGGGAAAAATGAAGTCCGCCCCGAATTGTAGAAACCCAAGCAAGTACTACTGTTTCCACTGCGACCAAGGCCACGACACTAATGACTACTTTGATATCAAAAGACAGATCGAGAAACTCATACAGTGTGGACAGTTGCGACAATACGTTGCTGGTAAGGGACAAGTCCCACCGTCTGACAAGAACTAGGATGATAAAGAGTGTCAATAGCCCCTCAAAGAAATCCAGATGATCTCCGGAGGGTTTGGAGGATGAAGTGACTCCAACTCAACTAGGAAGGAACATGTTAGGAGTGCTAGACAGACGAAGTCAAATAATCCTCGCCCAATGAAGACGCCCTAGCATGGGGAAGGAGATGTCATCTTGTTATCAAATAAGGACCTCGAGGGGATCCAATTCCCTCATGATGACTCCCCTAGTTTTCACCATGATAGTAGTCAACTATTAGGTTAAAAGTATTCTGGTGGACAGTGGCAGCTTTGTCGACATCTTATTTGCACCAGCCTATGACAGTCTTCGTTTGGGTAGGGAAAGACTACAACCCATTTGAACACCCTTCATCGGGTTTTCAGGTGAGAGGACTTATGTTTTGGGTTCCATCACCTTGTCAGTCACAACAGGTATAACACCAAGAAGCTCCAACACTCATGATAAACTACATAGTGCTAGACTGTCCCTCTACCTACAACATCATACTTGGACACCATGCACTCAACACCTTAAGGGTAGTGTCGTCCACTTATCACCTTATTCTTCATTTTCCAACCCTCTGTGGGATCGGAGAAGTTAAAGGAGACCAAGTTGCTGCCAGAAAATGCTACATGGCCTCTATGAGGATCAAAAAAACCCCAGAAGCCCTCTGAGTGTAAGTGTTTAACCATAGGCATGATAGCACACCATAAAAGAGGAAGCCTTGGCCCACCTAAAGGATACCGAACACTTGAAGAGGTATTATCAATAGCGGGTACAAGCCGGTGGCTCTCATTTTATTTGTCATGTATTGTTTCAGTTGATTTATTTTATTATTTATTATTTTTATGAAATAAAAATTTGCCAAGATTATTGTGTTCATAACTATGTTGCTTTCATTTCATAAAGATTGTAAACAACTTACAAAAATCAAAACAACAAGGTAGACAAAAAGATAAAAGTTATCATACTCTTGACAATCTCTCACTGCTCCTCGATCCGTTCTCATCAAGGCTCTCCCCATCACCATCTGTCCCTAGGGCTTCATATGGGACGAAACCAGAGAAATCAACAACAGGGAAAGCTATTGAGGCTTTTGCCCTAAACCCTTCATGACCATCAATAAAGAAGTCTGCAACGACCTTCTCAGCAGCCTCCCTCCTCATCTCCATCTCAATGGAATGAGCCTCTGCCACGGCAACCCTCTTCTGAGCTATACGTAACTCGGCCTCAGTTCCTGCGTCCCTCTCACGGGACGCTAGCAACTTTGACTTTGGTCTTACACAAGCAGTCTCCTTATTAGTCTTCAGCTTAGCGCCTCTCTCACAAGTTGCCAAAAAAACTTGGTCTAATCCTACCTCTGCTCCCAAACAACCTATGTCTCTAGCTTCGCGCTCTCTCACGAGTCGCCAAAAAGCTCAGCCTAATTCAACCTTTACTCTCAAGCAACCTTAATCTCCAGCTTAGCACCTCTCTCACGAGTCGCCAAAAGCTTGGCCTCAAGAGGTTTTACTTTTTCATAAGCAACCCTTAACTGCTCCTCAACAGCCTCTCATGCATGCCTCTCTTTTACCAAATCCCTGGATGCCTTTCCAGGCTTGATCGCTCTTGAAAAAAGGCAGGAAAAAGTGGTAGCCACCTACAAGCGTGCAAAAAACATAACATAAAGGAAAAGAGGCGAGTACAAAATCAAAGTTAAGAATAAAGGCATGCCATGAAAAACCCCTCTATCACGGTATTGATAATGCCCTGTAGACCTCGAGATCCAACCTCTTTGATATTCCCAGAAGTCATAGACTTCCAAAGTCATTCCTCGGTCGAATTCACATTGAAGCATGGACACTAAGCCACTACTAGGAGCAGGGCAGCTATGTGGAGCTACAGTCCCCATAGAAGACTGCACTGGAGTCTCAATTCCTATAATGGTGCAAGGGCTAGTTTTGATACACACAGGAGTCCTAGTTTGGGAAGGTGTGGGGACTCCATCAGATCCTGTTCCTAGGAAACAACCTAGTTATCGGACCTCTACCGAAAAGCACTGGGGTCATCAAACCTCGCCTTTTTAGGAAGAAGGGAAAATGTCGCTTTAGAAGCATAAAGAGCCTTCACTATCGCTCTATCAACTGTGGTACCTATGGAACCAAAATAAGAAAAAGAATATACAATATTGCAATTATCAAAGTTTATTGGAATGATCGGATACCTTTCCTCTTCCACCTAGGGGAGGCTCTGGGATAACCTATCACACCACGATGAGGTCTCTCCACCACCGGCGAACCCTACTCCTGAAATCCAACAACTGTTGGAGACCATGCTAGTAGATCCTCATGCTGAGGATGTCGTCAAAGCAAGGCGAGCTGATTCCTCACATAATTGGGAATACAAAAGGCAAACATGTGCAAAATCTATTTTTTCACTAATCTGTAGTTCAAAAAACAAGCGATTTGGATGTCGTAGATCTCAAAAAAAATACTCAAATTCAAAAAAAAAAAAATTCGCCTCAAACGGACAACCAAGCGCAAAGTTATGGCCGTTCAAAATTTTGCCCTTTTTCATAATTTTCTGATACTTTGATCGGCGCCCCCTCTCCTGACTATGTCTAGGCCTCCCTAGCGTCGCCCAAACCAGTCCTGGTGTCCCCTTCCATCAACTCATTTTAGGGCGCTGCCCGACAGGCCTTGGCATCACCTCTTTCTCCAAGGTATTGCCCACGTCCTTGGGGTTTGCAGCCAACACCAGCACCAGCCTGGCGCCTACTCCTACTGGCGCTACTTGGCTTGCTGGTGTTGCCCAGCAGCCTGTTGACGCCGCCTGGCTCGCTCTTGTTCTAGCCCACTCCAGCAGTAGCTTCAACACTATTAGCGCTACCCACACGCCTAGTGGCGCCGCTGTCTAGGCCTACTATAGTGACGTTGATGGCGTTGTCATCCATAGTTTTTCCCTCTTCACCCAAGCCTTAATGCCACCAGTCTTTGAAATGGCGTTGCCTAGCCTTCTACCTACAAACTGCTACCACTGGCACGTAGACCAAAATAAGCGATGCCAGCAGTGCCTAAGCTCACGCTGATGCCCAAGCTACCTGTCCTATACACTGCATCGTCCCTTACACCAGCGCCTAGATTTGCCACAATCTCACCACTTGGACCGAGGTATTTCACTGTTAATTTGCTCATGGAGCCGTCTGGAGTCGCCCATGCTCTTGGGCCAATCTCTCCCAAAAACTCAGCAACCATTTCCCTCTCAGAGCTGTCGGCAAGTCCCTTTTTTGTCATTCTCCCATGAACTTTCATGATTTTTTTTTTCCCCAAGCTCTCTCAATGGGTTTTTAGAATGAAGAAGATTTGACACAACAATTGGGTCAGGATTGCATTGACCCCTTAAAACCTCAAGTTTTAAATTTGAAAAGAAAATGGGGATTTTCCTGTGAAAAAGTAAAGCTTTTATCAGAACATTGAAGACCCAACGGAGGAAGATGTGTGGCCATTTACCCGGTATGGATGGAGGTTTGTAAGAGAAACTGAAGACTACCGTGGGGAGCAAAAAACCCTTAGCTATCTAGAGGCTCACTCATGCCCTTAACCTATCTGTTACAATCAGGGCTTAAGGCATGGGATGCAAATAATGAGTCCAGATTTAACTGGGTCAGACCCAATTAATTAAATAAATCAAAATTAGCTACAAGGTAGGTCAAACCTAGTTCATGGATTCGGCTCAGATCAAAGTTCAAGGGATCCAAGAATATTAGCGCACATGGGGAATAATTATCGGGATACCATTCTCGAATATCAACACTATCTTTGATTGTACCTATCCTAATTGTAGTTATCTACCTTGAAAAACTAGTGATTTATCCATCACATCACCGCCTCAACCAAGACTCTACGCCTATAAATTGTAAGCCCTCTCTACATGAGAAGAACATTTCTTTACACACCTTACATAATTATCTCTCTAATAGCCACCAAGAGCATACCTTTGCTCTCTCTCACACACCTACTACTTCATCAATAAAGAACACTGGCCACCATTGTCATTTTCAAAGTAGAGTAGGTCATCTTGACCGAAACCACTATACATTTGTGTGTTACTTGTATTGATCCAATATTTGTCTCATTTATTAATTGTTTTATTGATTGTTTCATTAATTATCTTGAATCATACACTCGACTGTTGACTGCGCATAAGCCTATTTTGTGCATCATCAAAAACTATTATATGAGCTCAAGGTTCAGGGTTGGGGTACGGGTCTGAGTGCGGATCTGAGTACAGGCCTTGGTTGTCTTTTATATCTTTTTGAAATTTGAAATGTCTTGTATTTTATTTTTTTGATGTGTATATCCATCAAGTATTGGTTGTTGAGTGGAGAATACTTAAATTGTAATTAATTAAATAAAAATTCTAAAAATTAAGAAAAGTGGGAAGAAAAACTTTTCAAGTCCTCTCTTCTAAAAAAACAGTTGTTTTATATATATAAATAAATATTGTGATGTTGATGCAACTTACCAAAAAAAAAAAACGTAGGTAAATAGTCGTACGAAGTTAAAATCTCGTGCGGTTTGTACAATGAGATTAAAGGATTACCTGTTTGTCGACAATACTGAAACTAATGTCGGGCTTAGCATAATTGCAATATGAGATTTCGTATCTATTTGACTAATAGAAGTTACTTGGGATCTAGAACTTTCTTGTCATGGGGCTTTTGTATTGAAAAGAACTTGGTGTGTGTAAGGGATGAAACCCTCCACTCAGGATTTCGGCTTGACCTTCGCGCGTTCGGGAGTAGCCTTTACCCCTCTTCCTGAGCCGGAGCCCTGGCCTAGCCTAATGTGGGGAGGGCGCACCGTATCCCACATCGGAAGAGAGTCGTCTTCCCCCCTCGCATATAAGCCCTTGCACTCAAAGGAGGAGGTACCCACTAGGCACCTGATCAGGTACTAGTGGGTACCTCCTCCTTTGAGTGCAAGAGCTTATATGCGAGGGGGGAAGACGACTCTCTTCCGATGTGGGATACGATGCGCTCTCCCCATATTAGGCTAGGCCAGGGCTCCGGCTCAGGAAGAGGGGTAAAGGCTACTCCCGAACGCGCGGAGGTCAGCCGAAATCCTTTCGGAGGGAGGGAATCCTGTCCACCAAAAGGCGCCTTTGTGTAAGGGATGAAACCCTCCACTCAGGATTTCGGCTTGACCTCCGCGCGTTCGGGAGTAGCCTTTTACCCCTCTTCCTGAGCCGGAGCCCTGGCCTAGCCTAATGTGGGGAGGGCGCACCGTATCCCACATCGGAAGAGAGTCGTCTTCCCCCCTCGCATATAAGCCCTTGCACTCAAAGGAGGAGGTACCCACTAGTACCTGATCAGGTGCCTAGTGGGTACCTCATCCTTTGAGTGCAAGGGCTTATATGCGAGGGGGGAAGACGACTCTCTTCCGATGTGGGATACGGTGCGCCCTCCCCACATTAGGCTAGGCCAGGGCTCCGGCTCAGGAAGAGGGGTAAAAGACTACTCCCGAACGCGCGGAGGTCAAGCCGAAATCCTGAGTGGAGGGTTTCATCCCTTACAGGTGGCCCTAGTGGGTACCTCCTCCTTTGAGTGCAAGGGCTTATATGCGAGGGGGGAAGACGACTCTCTTCCGATGTGGGATACGATGCGCTCTCCCCACATTAGGCTAGGCCAGGGCTCCGGCTCAGGAAGAGGGGTAAAGGCTACTCTCGAACGCGCGGAGGTCAGCCGAAATCCTGAGTGGAGGGTTTCATCCCTTACAAAAAGGCGCCTTTTTGTAAGGGGTAGAAATCGCTACGGATCTCATCCCTCCACTTGAAGGATTTCGACTTGACCTGGGTTAACCCACGCGGGCGACCCCCCAGTAGCCTTTACCCCTCAGTGCCCGCAGGAGCTTCGTCCCACATCGACTGAGAGTCGTCTCCCCCCCTCGCATATAAGCCCTTGCACTCAAAGGAGGAGGTACCCACTAGCGACCTGATCAGGTGCCTAGTGGGTACCTCCTCCTTTGAGTGCAAGGGCTTATATGCGAGGGGGGGAGACGACTCTCAGTCGATGTGGGACGAAGCTCCTGCGGGCACTGAGGGGTAAAGGCTACTGGGGGGTCGCCCGCGTGGGTTAACCCAGGTCAAGTCGAAATCTTTCAAGTGGAGGGATGAGATCCGTAGCGATTTCTACCCCTTACAGTGTGCAATTTTTCTCACTATCTTGAATAATCCATTCACTCAAAAGTGAAAAGGAAAAAAAAAATTGTTAAATGGAAGAAAGCCTTCCATGAATAAGAGACGTAAGACTAAAAGAAGGGGTAAGACTAAAAGAAGGGGTAAGACTAAAAGAAGGGGATTAACGTGATAATACAGACGAATTATAAATTAATGTATCATAAATTTGAATATTGATAATTCTTTAAAGTCAGGTTACGAGGAAATTATTTCTCATGAATTTCTTAGTCTCGACGTCGATGACTTACCTTTGATCAAATCAGAAAAAATATTAGTTGAGGTACATGTTAACTAGCCTAAAACATTCCTGATGGTTTAACAAAAAAAAAAAAAACCAATGAGAGTCAAAAAAATGATTTTTCGTGTGCAACGTGATTTGAATCATTAAAAGAATTAAACCACAAGATTTTGATAATTCTCTCTTAGACTAACAACATAAAATCAAAGTAACGCAGACGCAATTTGAATGAGAAAGAGATCAAGGAATTATAGTGTATAGAAGGACAAGAAGAACAAGAAGAACATTGCAACCAGTTATGATACCTCCAAAGACATGATTTAACTACTTAATAACTTGGAGTAAACACTTTTGAGATCCGAAGCACGAGTCTGATAAAAGACAATCTTTTTTAACAAAATGAAGATGGATTTGAGGATGATTGTATGCACCTAATAACCTCAACAAATCCCAATGACACGTGATTTCAAACAATTGTGTGTGCATGGTTGCATGAATTTGAGGATGATTGTATGCACCTAATAACCTCAACAAATCCCAATGACACGTGATTCAAACAATTCTGTGTGCATGGTTGCATCATTAATTGTTTTGCGGTGAGCAACAGCACTTTGAAGGGAAAAGAGACACAGGAAAGAGAAATAACAGGACTTTAACCACATGCACAAACCCCTAAGAAATTTAGAAATTCAAAGAAGTTGCAGCACATAAAGCTAAATTATCAAATCAAATTTCATACTGATTGGAAACCTACACATAAATATTAGATAGCACGGCGGTGCGGCAGCACAAAAAATTCTCTCTTTTAAATGTGAAGTTAAAAGATAAAATTATAATTACTTGAGGTAATTTTTTGTTGATTAAGTTATTTTGATTTCTATTTTATGAATTATAATAATTTAATCTTTATGAATAATAATACCTTGATTTTCAAAAGTTATAACTTTCGAAATTAATCACAACATTTAGTCATCGATCATGTTCTACAAATTTTTATAATTTACACTTTTAAAATATTAACACTTAGACCTTAAAATATTGTATCATTTCATACGGTACTTTCTTGGGTGCGGTGGTCTCCCTGACAAACATTGGATTCACTTGAGTACCCAAGTGCAGAACCTGCTTGTTCATCCCAGAAACAAGACTTAAACCTAGAATTATAAGTAATTTTGTTGATAAGCAAAACTCAATTTAACTTATATGATAGTTCAAGCAATAACAGAGACAAATTATACTCTTAGATATCATGAGTTTGAATTTTTGGCAATTTTAGGGCTAGGCCATAAAGAATTTATTCCCTAGTCCAGGCGTAAATGACTTTCTTTTGACCGAGACGGGAAAAAAATTAATCAAAGTGCACATAGACCGACCGAATACCTCTGACCGATGAAGAAAAACAACCAATTCCATGTCTACCAAAGAAAAAGAAAATACAGCTACTATGGTGAACTCACACATCAATTCTTGTCATATAAAGCAAACGTAGACCGACTCGATGGTCGGGGGATACATTCCCAAACCCCCAAAGTCTAACAATAAGACACCACCCATTTCGTCTGCTCCAATGGGTTAGGTTCCCTACAATGGAGGCTAGGCATACCCAACCATTCCAAAGATTCTAGGAGAAAAAACAAAGGACACCAATATAGTGACAACCACGCTATAGCTGACTTTAGATGTACCAAGAAAGATCACAATAATAGACATGGTAGCCAGGGAAGGATAGTGGAACCATCTGTCCAACAAGTTGAGAACAAGATTACAGTAACCTTAAGAATTGTTCAAGAGCCACACACGATACAATCCTACATAGTAATTAATCATGCAAAAAGACAAAGAAAAAAGGAATGCAACAGCCACTCACTCTTTTGTACAAAAGAGAACTCACAATGCCCCATGATAAGTGCAGAAAACAACCACACAATCCTCTTCAACGATCAATGCTCACGACATAGGCGAAAGTGACCTCTTCAGTTCCTCCAATGAGCAAGCCACTTCATAGTATTCAAAGGCACTTCCAATACTTTGCCTAAAGCAAGGTGACCTTTAACTCTAGTAGTCTGCTTCTTTTATTTCCAGCAAAATGAAGGGAATATCTTTTAGGTACCATGCATGATGGCATGAGTAGAGGTTGGACCGTTGAAGAACCAAAAAGGTATTAAGCAAAGAGGAGGAGCTAAACACATCTTTTTATACGAGCTTCATTCAATCATCTACCCTCAGACTTCACCAGCTGTGAGAACACCCTGCTCATTGAAACCCCCGAAAGATCATCCGCACTTGACATTTCGAACTGAGCATCTGAAACAACATCAACATGGTTGTAATCATTGACTAGTGGAGAGAGGTCACCAATGACATTAGTACTGTTTTCGTCAGGATCATTGTGAAGAACTGCTTCTTGAAGTTGAAGTGCATACTCAAGATTCCACAAGACATCTCCCACAGATGGTCGGTCAACACCAAAGTCAGCCAAACATTTCTCTGCTGTTTCTCCAAACTTCCGAAGAGAATCCGGTCTTATTTTTCCGGCAAGATTAGCGTCAATGATTTGCTCCAGCTGCCCCTTCTTCTGCCACTTCATTGCCCATTCAGCTAAGTTCACCATCTCCCTTGGAAGAGATGGATCTATCACAGGCCTGGCACAAAGAACTTCAAACAGAACCACCCCAAATGAGTACACATCTGATTTCTCTGTCAGCTGTTGCCTTCTGAAATATTCAGGATCAAGGTACCCAAAGCTCCCTTTCACCGCAGTACTCACGTGGGTTTGATCAATTTCAGGGCCTGTCTTTGAGAGTCCAAAATCGGCAACTTTGGCCATAAGATTCTCATCCAGCAATATGTTTGCTGACTTCACATCACGATGAATAACTGCTTTTGCATAGCCGGTGTGAAGGTAGTGAAGCCCTCTGGCTGCTCCGATGCATATCTCAAGCCTCTCCTTCCAACTCAAGCTGGCAAGACCTAAGCCATAAAGATGACCCTTGAGGGTCCCATTCTCCATATATTCATAAATCAAAATCATCTCATTTTTTTCGTCACAATACCCAATCAATGAAACCAAATGGCGGTGGCGGAACTGAGACAGCATCTCAATTTCAGTTCGGAACTCTGCCAGACCTTGTTGGGATCTGGGATTACCCCTCTTAACAGCCACTTTTGTGCCATCATTTAAAACTCCCTTGTAAACCTTCCCAAAACCACCAATTCCAATAACCCAACTCTCATCAAAGTTGTTTGTTGCCTCTTGAACTGCTGCAAAAGGACAGCGGTAGCTCAAGTTAGAGCCAGCACTAACGGTTGTTCCATTGGAGTACTTACTTCCCATAGTGTGGGAAGTTCCTCCATTAATGGATAAAGGAATCCACGTTTTGGACTGGCGTAGACGTTCCATTTTTCTTCTTCTATGCAAGAAAAATAGAATGACAGCCATCACCACAGCAACTGATGCCCCTATGCTCACACCCGCAATCACTCCCACATTCTTCTTTGAGCCTGGCCTTGAGGAAGATGGTACAGAGGCCACCTTACTGAGGCTTCCTGCAGAGTTGTTCATCTTCATAATCTCCAGTCCATTTAGAATGGCGTTAGGGTAAGCATTATTAACTGGAGATGGACCAATACTCACCCGAAGCTTACTACTATCAGCTGATGCCATAACAAAATCCATATAATATGCAGTGGCCAAAATGCCAAGGGTTCTAGTACTCAGATCAAGATTAGGAACAACATTCCATGAATTTATATAAACATTGAAGTAGAGCTGGTTAGGAGATTTGCTCACTATATCACAAAAATGAAACCGCACAAGGTACTGGAATCCTGGATCCACAGTGAATTCCCATGTCACATTGAAGTTGCTAGTCGGATCATTTTCTGATCTCATCTTTGCAGCAGTACCATAGACACTAGGTGGAGCAATATCTATCGTCGCACCACCCGCAGGATACTTAACACTTGCGATATTTGATACATTATCAGCAAGATTCACTTGCACCAAGTAACTCTGATCAGGAATCCAAGTTCGCCATAGTGTATCATTCTCAAAAGAGACAGTTGGTCCACCCATATTCACCCGATGAACTGTCTCCAGTGCCTGTCTCATCAAACCTTGGAAACTCCCGGAGGGTTGACAGAGGCGGCATCATCAGTGATGAGGATATCAGGGACCGAGACAACTTCCAAAGCATTTAAATAGGCAAACGAATTTTTGAAAGGGGTCATGGTGATTTCAAGAGTACTGGATGTCACATTTACTGAAAATTCTTTAAAAGACAAGCCAGCAGGATTAAAATTCCCAAGGAGTACATAATTTGGGGTGGAAACAGAGAAATTTGCCAAGCTCAAATTGTAATTCCTATAGACAAATGGGTAGAAATAAAGGCGAATCCAATGCCTCCCTCTTTGGCTGATTGAAAACGTGTACTTCGTGGTTGCAGTAAAAATTCTTGCTGTTTGATAAAGAGCCGAATCACCAGATGATGTGGCAGAATTTGCGGATGTATTATTGGCCAAGATGTTTTCAGGGGTTGAAAGTAATTGTGAGGCCAAGTTATCCGCCATGAAAACCCGGTCACCCACCGTAGTGTTGGTAGGTGATCCACAGTCTATAAGGTACATGTCTGCAGGAGTAAATCCACTAGCAAAACATGCGAAATATGGTACTAATAGAACACAGATGAACAATTTAAACGATCCACCACCCATCATCATAGAGACTAGAAATTCTAGAATCAAAACGATGGGTTTTTTCGAGTTTCCTTGAAGCTAAATCTGGGTTTCTTATTAAGGAACAGCAATAGAAGAACTAGAGATTTTCAATCACAAAAACATAGGATATGAAACCATTAAAGAACAGACAACCTAGTACAGAAAAAGGAGGCACCTTGGAGATCAATCATATCAGCCGCAAGAGAGAGCAGAGATTGAAGACCCAGATTTGCAATAACAAAGAGAGCCAAATCAGATACAATCCATAGGAGATTCAAAAGCTAAGGATGCAAATAAGAAAACCCAACAAAAGTTTGTGCAAAACAGCTTTAATCTTGCAAAGAGGAAAACCGGTTTGAACTGGAGAGCCGCCCCAGGTATTGACAGATTCATGATTTATTATACAATAGCATCAATAAAATATATTGAGAAATTAGAACAACGGAGAAGCAAAGTCAAACAGCATGGGAATGATGCCAACTAAGGTTTTAGAGGGCTAACCAACCTTTTTCTGGGTGAGTCCACGTAGAGATGAATCGCATGTACTGGTACAAAAATTGGAGTAAAGTGGTTACTCCAAGAACAGAGAGAGAATTTCTTTAAAGGTGCAGACAGAGAGAGAGAGACAGACAGCATTTAATATTCACTGGGGGTGACCGGGAAAAAATAGGAAGCTTCGTTAGTGGAGCCTTTAGCTCAAAAGATGTAAATATTCATCAACTTAAATAGTTGCTTGGTTTTTTTCCATTTTTCATGATTTTTTTATTACAATGTGTCTTAGATTTGTTTCGATTGCAATTACTTATTAAAGTTTAAATATTAAAGTTTAAACATTGGAAGCAGCCAAGGTGTACCCTATAGCTAGGTATCATCATCCTTTAACTTCAAATGTCATTAGCCAATCTAATTCCAATGTTTATTTATTTTATTTTTTTGATAACGAAAAACTTTTGTTGCTAGTCTTCACCGAATAAATACGCACTTATAATTCCGATGCTTATGAAAACTAATTTTCAGCAGAATTTATTAGTTAACTTCTAACTCAAGGGATGGGTAGGGTGGGATCCTATAGGCTTGGTCTAAAATTAGACTTCCAAATAATAATGTACATATCTTTGAGCATTTTAAAAAGAAGAATTAGTTGTAAGTTATAACAATCCATTCACTCCATTTCCTAATTCTTATTATTTAATTGGGAGTTCCCACCACAAAGTCTAGGTTCTGACCGCATGTACTCTATTATTAATTAAAGGATCACAATGCATTATTTTAAAATTATGTCCTAATAGTATATCAAGAGAGGAAATAAGTGATGAGATCTTGAGATACTATCAATTACGTTATCTATAATATAAACAGAACAAACTTTAATAAATCTATTCGATGATTTCTAGTAGACTTATCTAATGGCTGTCAACATTCCTTTTAAAATTATTTACATTGCACCGTGTTTTAAAGCATGATTTACTCTTAATTATTTATATGATTAAACTTTTTAGTGTTTTAAAGTTCAAACATATGTATTGGGGGACTTTGTTGTTGGACCCCCTATCTTCAAAGTAGATGGTATCAAAGCACATAATAGAGATATAATTTGTACAATTAATAGCGTTTTAACGAAGAATGTGTGTGCCATTTTTTTTAGGTTAATAATTAATAGAAGAGAAGTTCCGTGGAGAGTCAATTAACGTTGTTTACTTTAACTTGACAAAATAGAAAATCTTATAGAGTTTCGGAGAACTGAATGAGAATATTTTAACAATGAATGTGGTTAGTTTTTGAAGTCAAAGTCATATAATCAGACGTTCTGAGTTTATATATTGACAAATCTTTAGGGTTAGGGCATGAGAGATATATTATAGTTTCGGTGTGGATGATTTATGTTTAACTGAATCGGAGAAAAGATTAGTCGATATACGCATAAGTTGGATCGGATAACCATAACCGTTAAAACAAATAAAAAGAGCACAACTTAAAAACACACACACACATATATATATATATATATATATATATATATATATATATATATATATATATATATATATATATAACACAAATTAAAAAAAAATAAATAAATAAGATGAAAGAAGAAGAAGAATATTAAAAAAAAAAAAAAAACTTGCCCACCCAAAATGATTGTATCAATAAATAGTTGGCAAAATACAACCCAACCCAATTGTTAACATCTGCAATAAAGAAATTGATAGCTACTATTAATTTAATTTATTAAGCGCACCAAGCCGGTTACATGATGCACGCAAATGCCAGCTGAAGATATTTATTGTATTGGGACGTTTCCCAATGATAAATATTGCTTCCAAGAACCGAATATGACTTTTGATGCCTAGGCTAGGGTGTCCAATACGTAAATATCTAATTAAAGGGGGCACTTAATGCAGTGTTGGTAATGACTTGACTTCTATCGGGTCTGTGCCAAAATTTATTTAATTTTATAAAAAATTAACTTTTATAATGTATAATCTTGATCTATTTTTTAAACGATTTTGACAGTTAAAATTGTTTACAACCTATTCCTTGAAAAATGAACTCATGCCCAACAATTTTGTGGTGTCGGACTTTTTGATCGAATATAACAAGTGTTCACCCTAATTGAACGTCGAAATTTTCTCAAATTACAATCGAGCAATGCTATTGAGATCTAATTTGCTGACCTAATCACTAGAACCATTAAATTGACTGTGGATTTCTTCAAGCATTGAAACTTGATATTAATTTAATGGTTAAAATAAAAACACATCATTAGATTAATAGATTAAGTCAAATTTTAAGGTCTGACTAACAGTATTCTACCTGATCATGTGGGACATCACCTAGAATCTATAGGAACATCATAAGGTGGTAGATGAGAGTTGGACGAATGAAAATTCGGTTATATATGACATTATCCCGAGGTATATTTTTTCATACACAATTAGAAATAGATCAATATGGTTTACTATTACTTAAATAGTAGACTTAATTTAGGATAGATATATCGTATTATCATATTATTCATTCATAGTGAAATGATTTTCCACCATATGTATGGGTGTGTTTCACATATCGAGCCGATAATTAAGCTACAATGAGGAAGTTCTTGTGACCGTCGTGTCCGTAGATGCATGTCCTATAAATTGAATGATGTGTTTGTGAATACAATTCTTTTAGGTTGAATGCCGAATGCTGTTATATTGACATGTTCGTCTTATTCTCCTGCTTTCAATCTGTGTTTGGTTTATTAAACTTATGTAAGTTGGACCACTAACATGAGAAGTATTTCGAATGGCAGGGGTAAAATACACATGGTCAGAATAATCGATCAAAAGTGACAAAAGCTAGAATCTAAAACTATCAACATCTGAAGGGTGGGGGTTGATGAGGCGTGTAGACGTACAACTGTAGCTGTGTACCAGCTAGGCAAAACCGAGTCAGTTTGCAGGCCGGAAAACAGTGGAAGAATAGGTCTTAATACAAATCTAGTAGGTAAGCACATTCACTTCTTGTCTTCTTGTTCATTTTCCTCTCCATTTGGTGGGAACTCATTGCAAGTTTGGCACTGGAAATTGCATTTGTATTCAGAGCAAATAGTTTTCTGGCTTGGTGGAAACTGATTCACTCCACTAGTGTTTGGAAATATCTTTTGCTTTTGTCATACTATTCTTTTTCTATAGGTTCGGAAAATGGCTACATATACGCTATCTTACCCTTGCATACAAGAAAATTGTTCACAACAATATCCTTCTCTTTAATGATTTTCCTTTTACATGCTTACAGATGGTTTGATAGACCAGAACCCAATCTCAAAAATCAATTAAAATTTTTAAATTTAAAGAATAAGGATGATTGAAAAACAATATTTTGGGTCTCTTGAGGGCTTGCATTTTAGAGTTAATCAAAATAAGAATCAGGTTTGGTTAGTGGTTATTACTTTTTCTTCTGTCTTAATCGTTTTTGGCACACCACGATTATTGACGGATTCGATTTCTGTTCTAATACGCTTTCTCTTGATTTCTTTCAATGGAAGATTATCACATAATAGATATAAGTAAAGTCCAATATATAAATGGACTGTCCACCAATATACGTTCGATTAGGGGTGACAATCATATCGGGTTAAGTGAATTCGTGTCGAATTAAATAGGTTCGTGTTCAAAATTATTTAATTCGTATACAAATCGTATATATAAACCGACGAGGATTGCAAAAAAAGAACCTGACCCACTTATTTAGTGGGTTATCCAGAACAATCCGTGTAAAACCTCCAAATAAATGGGTCATTTTGAATCAATTTCAGGATCCATACGATCAACCCTTCCACCTGCCACAATTAAAGACCCCTTTAACATGAAAAAAATTGTACTGACCACACAATCCACACGCACACAGAAGGTACAGAGAATTAGAGCTAGGGCGAATGGAATTGGAGGGAAGAAAGGAAGAGATCGTGTGAATTGGAGGCGGATAATGAAATGTGATGGTGTTACAGTGGCTATGGCAACTAAGGAGTAAGCCTTAAGGCATATCCGCCTCAAATTTAAATTTGAATAAAAAAATTTAAAAAATTTGTTCCAATTCTTAACTCAAATTTATATCAAATTAAAGAAAACTCATTTTTTTACTCAAATTAAGAGATATTCAAATCTTTAATGATGAGATTTCACCATATTTTAAAAATTCAATGGTCATTCTTACTCTCTTTTAAATTTGGATTTGCCTTTATTTAAATTTGAATCTTTCTTTCTTTAAATTTGAGTTTGTCCACCAGAGTATTTTATATCAAATTAAGCTTTTTACTCAAATTTAGATTTAAATTTGAGTAAAATTTGAGTCATGATTAAAAATACTTTAAGGGCTGAATTGTTGATGAGATGGGTTGGACTGAGAATGGAAAATGGACTTCTAAATTAAAATTAACAGTAAATTGGAAGGGGTATACTAAATTGGGTTTAATTGTAAAAAAATATACAGAAGAAAATATAAAATAAGGAAGTCCTTAATTTTAGATCTTAATTATGTACAACTACATAATTTGAAATTTTTTGATTTTCCTTTGACATTTGTGTTCTCCCTTAAATCGTGTGATTATTTTTGAATATTGTGTTATTTTTTCAAATTATATTTATGCATTAAAAATTTCCTAATTTAATGGAAGATTTAATTCTTCCGTTTATTTTGAGGATAAATTAGTTGATTTGAATTTTAAATTTTACAACAGTATCATTTATTTTCTTCTTCTTCTTCGGCCTGGAAGCAATTTATCAGTGCAAGTCCAAAATATTATTTCATCTTTATCATTCAATCTAAACAAATTATAAGGGTTGAATTCATAACTTCATTAGGTTTATGTCTGTCATTTTAAAGGTGATTATATTATTCCTTTTTTTTTATATGCGAACACCATAACCAAAGTTCATCTTGTATATGTGGTTATAATGTAACAATAACAATGTAAAAATTTACTTATACAAAACACTGTATTGTTATATTTTGTCAAACATATATTTGCATA